GACCGGGCCAGACCGGGCCAGACCGGGCCAGACCGGGCCAGACCGGGCCAGGGTCGCGCGAGTCGAGCTCCCCATTCCGGCAGCCTCTCACGGGTAACTGCACACTTCACGGAGTGAAGGAGGTTTTGAGATTTTCCTCAACACACAGCCGGAGAGCTCATGGTAAAAAAAAAACACGGATTGCTCCCTGTCAGGGCGTTCCTCTTCGACGCCACCTTGCTGATATGAAGGGACGGAGAGAGAGTTCAGTAGGGATCTTTCCAGCTCAAAAGTTCAAATTGCACTGCCGTGCAGAGGAAGTTAACTGAAATCTAAAACCGTTCTCAACTCAAAGGAGAATCCAGATATTTGTTTAAGAAGAAAAAAAAAACTGTTTTGTTTCTGCTCTGCAGTAGCAGCAGCAGGGAGCTGACAGACCTCTTTCACTGAAGCCACAGTGCTGGGTGTCGTACAAAACCTGCCTTTCCTTTACTGGTCAGGAGAATGACGTTTCTGATACAGGGACTGGAGAAACCTAGTTCAATACGCCGACATGGAAGAGTGCGTCAACTATCCAGACTGACAGGGAGAGACCAGGAAGCACTTCTTTACCCCAAGTGAGTGTTGTGGGAGTCTGGAACAAGCTGCCCAGCCAATTCACCAGCAGACCGACGTTTAAGAACAATGGTTTAAAAAACAGATGCCCCGACAATGAAATGTAAAATTGGTCTGTTTTACACAAGCATAAATATATTTCATATATAAATGATCGGTAATAATAATGACAATTTGTTTTCTCTCACACATACTCTTAAGTTTCTTATCAAAAGACAGTCTGACTGAGCACAATTTATGAAGAGATGATAATGTATGAAAACATGTTTCATGAATGATGATGGATACTTTAAAACAAAGAAAACAGCTTTTAATATTTTGTCTGGAATTACGTGGGATATAGGACAAGCTCGCCAATGAAACTGTCGCATCAAAGCATGTTTCAGTTTCTTACTCGAACACTAGAAAAAAATGGAGAAAATCTGCTTCCTGTACTTCTACGATTCCTTTAAAAAGGTTACTGAGGGAAACGCCACGTAAAACACTGAACCACACAAAGCCAACACTACGTCCTGCAAGATGTCTGCATACTGAAATGAAAAACCGCACTGCAAAGCCAACTGCAAACAGAAACCAGCCGGACCTGTCAGCTCCGTGAACAGGAGTCACTCTTGTAAACGGAGATCTCTATTCAGAATTCAACATCACAGGGGGCAGGAGAGAGAGGAGATTCAAAAGGGCAGCAGTAGGCGCCCACAAAAACGTGCCGTCTTGGGGTCGCGCGTGTACACTCACTGGTCGAAGGTGCTCGGCCTTCCCAGCGGACAACGGGCTGGGCCTCTGGGAACAGCAGCAGGAGGGACAAAGTGTACAAAGCCCAGTCCCATCCCCTCCCCGCGCCCGTGAGCCCGTGATGAGGATGAGGAGGATGAGGAGGAAGAAAGCGGTCCATCGCGTGCTCCTCAGGACAGCCACACGCTGTCTACCAGGAGTTCCTAATGTTCTAGCCTGCGACACAGCTGTGAAACAGGAGACAAACTCCACACGGAGAACTGGAGGCCGGCCCAGGTCTTTATTTCTGTTAGCTGCACCGTCACTACCTGCTACACGTTTCCCCAGGAGCCTTCTCCCCTGAAACCGGCAGCGTCACCCCGACACGCTGTGATATTCAGAGGTGACGCGTGCAAGCAGAGTTACTCCCGCGGCTGACCTTCATGGTCCTCTGAAAGCCGGGCAGCGCGCAGACTCCACACAGACACGCAGCGGTGGCAGAGCGCAGGGCCTGGCGTCTGGAAACGCTGGCGTCGCACTGTCCCGGCAGGGAGCAGGGCCTGCAGTCGTGCCAACTCCACACCCTCGGGTCCTCCTGGCTTCCTGCTCTGACTGTGTAAGTGGTGGTTTTAGGACTCCGTTTAGAGTGCTGTTCTTTTTTTACCCTGACAGGTTCCTGTTCAGTTTAAATAGCACAGGCTGTGCTCAGCGGGCCATCTAACTGCGTCGGGGAAACGCTGGATAAGCAGACGTTTCGAAAACACGTTTCTCACTTATTAGGCATGAGCTCTGGCTAAAGTCTTTAAGGACAGAAACATGCATGTTATCCACGTGGAATACTTTGATGGTTTCTGTTAGCGAGACTAAGGCGAGTATTCAGTGAGATACCTTGACGGATGCTTATGATCTTCTAACTCTGGAAATCAAACAAGCAGGTCTTCCCTCAGACTGGTACTGATGGTGCTGCTGGGTGCCCGTTTGCGAACGGAGGAAACGCTTGCACTGCCCAGCCCATGTGGAAATCCGCCTTTGACGAGAAATTGGTAGCCTGTCTCCTACCCGTCTTTTCACCTATAAGCGTCTCTGAAAGTCGACAAAACACCCCTCCCCCCTAAACGTGAGGACAAATCCGACAAGTCCACAGGAACCGCAGCAGACACAAGCAGCGCATTCAAGCTCACTCATGCAAAAAAAAAAAAACCCAGCAACAAACGACAAAAGACACACAGATAGAAGACACAGATCAATGGAGCTACTGGAAAGTCAGTAGTCAATCGTTTCTACCTGGGCTGAGTCTTATCTAGAGGCGATCGCAATGACAGATGTGGATGAGATGTGGAGAAAGACACAGTTAAGTGTGTCTACAGACACAGACACAGGTGATGATGACTGGAGAGGATGCCTACAAAGCAGGTTACTAAGGCAATATTCATTCTCTCTCACATATTTCTTCATTGCCTTGTTTCAATAAATCGTGTGCCTCCTGCTTAATGCAGCGTTAATTATCCATAAATGTATGTGGTTACCATTTCCTTTTATATGCCTGTGGCATCGAAATGCAATGGAATTCACAGAACAGCGACACCAGAGTTTGGACAAACAACCTCCGTCAGTACAACTGTCAACAGCGAGAATGTAAACTATTGCTTTTCAAACCAACTTCACCAAGACAGCCCTTCGCCAGCAGAGCAACACACACTGGTGTAATAACAGTGACAACGTCCTGCCCGAAGTGCTGGGGAACGACCCAGCACGCGATGCATCTTAGTGTCTAAAAACTGTAAAGCAGTAGGAGACCAGGCGGACGTGAGCTAGCCAACAAGAGGAACTATCAGTGGCACGTGTGCCTCTCATGAAACGCCGGAGGCAACAGCAGACTTGGCTAATGTGGTCTGGGGCGTACGACACTACTGAACCGAAAGACCAGAGGCAGACTGCAGGTGCAGTAAGACGACCTCTAAATGCTCAACGCTGGGACCCAACCTGGTCCTGGAGAAACCTAGGGCGACAGGCTCTGTCAGTCTCCCATCCCTCCCCAGTCTGAAAAGACCAGGAACACGTGCGAACTTTGATCAGTCTGGTGTCAACGGGTTCTGCCCTGGTCACGACTGGCCAGCCGTCGTCCCGGGAGCCACAGGACCCCGTCGCTTCAGAAACCGCCTGCTTAGCGGAGTCAGACGGAGACCGAGGCTCCGCCGGACCAGGGCTGACCAACCCCCCCAGTAGCGGAGGAGGCGACGGTGCCGATGTCGTCATCACCACCGGAGGGGGACCGAACCGCTCTGCCCTTCTAGGCGGGGCAGCGCGTCTCGGACCAGGGGCAGAGGAAGAGCCCCGATCAGGACGGCTCTCCGGGCCCTGTGTCTGAGGGACAGAGGAAACGGCGACGGCTGTGCACGCTCCCCCCGGTGAGGGGCTCCTTACCCCTCTGTGCTGCTGCTGGAGCTCCCTGATGGTGCTCTGGGCCTGCTCCAGCTGAGCGCTGGCCTCATCGCTCTGCTGTTTGACGGTGGCCAGCTCCCGTTTTATGAGGTAGTTTTCCTCAGCCTCTTGTGCCCTTGTCACTTGTCCCTTGTGACATAATTATGGCGTGAGGATTATCGATGAGTTGCAAAGCAAGGCGGAATCTGGACATTCCTCTATGTGTAAAAGAAGCATGCTGTCTAACAAGTAGGGCTTAATTGGGGGATGGTGGGGATTTTATTTTTAATACTTTGTTTCTTTAAACACAGAATTACAAGGGCATGCGATTGCCTGATTGTTCATGCAAGTGTCAACAATGAGCTCTCACTGATTTTCGAATGGATTTGTTCTGCATTTTTAAAAGCAGGGAGGATTAAGTCACATCTAACCTGATTCAGATGAAATGTTATACCTAACAGTACAGAGCAGGAGCAATGATGTCTAAGAGTGATGGAAATGCATGCACATGAAAGGAGAGCCAGCTTTCTCTCTTTTGAAAAAGAGAAAGCTGCAGCATTTCTATTTAACAAAGGCACAAGGAAAGCATAAAGATATACCTGGATCAATCTATCTGCCAAGGAAGCACTTTCCTATAAAAGGTAAAAACAAAATACACACAGAAGCATAAGAGAGAAAAACCAAAGAATCAATAAAAAGAGAAGTGACAATATTGATTTTGACATGTTCGGATTTCTTCCTCTTGATTTTCTTAACAGAAGACGGATTGGGTTGAACCGCTCACGGGCCTGGGCAGCGTGCAATTTGGCCATCAAGGAGGGAGAAAAGGAACAGCAGCCTCAGGATTCAGGAGGGTTAAGTACAGCAGTGAGCAAGGAGCAGAAGTGCGAGTGAAGCAGAGCGCAGGACAGACGTGCAGACGTGCAGGGTCAGACGAGAAACCACGCCTCCGTGTCAGTCGGGTACGTGCTGGGGTGCGTCAGTCTGGGTGCGCTCCAGTCACAAGCTCGGCCTTCCAGCCCCCTGCGCCCCTACAAGCCTTGTCCAGCCCAGGAGCGCCCCCTGTCGGCCCCCGGCCCCTGTGCTCGCCATGCAAGGGAGGAGCCCGGTCCCTGCTCCGCCTCCGGCAGCGGAGGAGACTTCGTAGGCCCATCGAGTCCCAGACCCGCGGTCTCATCGCTGCACGCACTTTCGACCACGCACGCGGGGGAGGCGCTGGGGTATGTACTGGTACGTACAGTCACTCCAGCTCCACAATTAGATTAGGTCATATTTAAAGGGGAACTGCAACGCTACTTTTATACTTCAGGGTCAGAAAGATTCAGCAGCGCATGAGTGCATTTCAAACCACAATAAAAGTAAAATGTGCACGGTTACTTGTAAAACCTCCTGTTTACATCACAAAACAGACGTGATTTCCCAGTATACGCAGCGCCATGTTCTGCGATTCAGAACGAGGCAACAAAACATCCGGTGAGGTGATGCTGCCCTATTACACTGTAAACAGGCAGGCTTGTGAATTCACCTCTTTTAATCCAACAGAAATATTGCTCTCAATTTCAAGGTGGTTTTGCCGATAAATACATTACTTGCAGTGAAATGTCTGCTGCATGACCTGTACTTTTTCGCTCGTACATCACAATACAATAGTCATTACAGTGACTAGTGAGCAGGATGGGCCACTTCAAGTGGCTATTTGCGTGAACCCTGCTCTCGCCTGTGGCAAGACCAGGGCTTTGTTTGACAACAATGATGACCAGACAGTACTTTCACAAAGTTCACAGTCTTAATTCAAATTTTGTAAAAAATTCTGTACCGTCAATATATTTATTTTGTGAACAAGATTTAATAACCGGTCTGAAAAACTGGGACTGCAGTTCCCCTTTAAAGCAAAACATGAGCTACTTTACAGAAGAACTTCAGAACTGGGGGCTGAAGTACTCGTAAGCCTGAGCAGGCCAGTACGCGACTCCAGGCTTCGTTGGGAATAGAACATTAGTGCAAGTCTGGCCATCAGCAAATGTCGTTTAGTATATTTAATGAAATCAGCCATAAATTATTCCAGCTTACCATGCCAGTGTTAAAGTGCTCTGAAAACACTGCCCTTTTAAAAAGGCTGCTAAAATCATAACTGCTGGTTACGATTTCTGAATGCATTTTCAATGGGATAAACAAAACTGAGCTCCAGCTACACCAGGTTTCTGGAAAACTTAGAAAACATGGTGATTTTTATTATTAAGCAAAACAACAACAAAAAAAACAAGCAAAGCCAACTTTTGCTCAAAATACACAAAAAACGTTGTGCATTGCTCATTAATAAATGTATACTGTGCAAGCCCAGTTAGTGAACAAGACCAGTGTGTCTTAGTGGCCCAAATAATACACACAGAAGACTAGTTTTCTTGGTTAGTTACCAGGATACATGCTGCTGTCTGAGGATTACAGTAAAATAAGAGATGCGGGTTATTTATTCAATACCTGGTCCATACTGGTCTTACAGTACTCACTTTCTCCAGGGTGTCAATGCGCTGCTTCAGCAGTCGGTTCTCCGTGCGCAGTCTCTGGAAGACAGAGGCTCACGTGAGAGAAACGGATGAACACGACAGGCCGAGCCAGTACACTGGGGCGTCTCCTCTACAGGTCAAAGAGGCTAGGTCCCCAACCCATCTCCTGGGCTCCGTCTGTGCGTAGCACACACACACTCCTCAGAGCACGCCGGGGATCTCTCTCGATGGAGTGCAAATCTTCACCCACTTTCTGAACCAGGGCTGCTCCTAACAGCACAGTACAGGAAAACAAGTGCCCGTTGGCTTGTGAGGCCCTCACCAAACTTACCTTGATCTCAACTTGTTCTTCCATCTCCTTAGTTTTTATGGTAGTGTATTCCTTCTCTAACCTGAAAGACAACAGTGCACAGCGAAGGTAACTAAACCGTAGCCCGACAGGAAAGCCATTATAATTAGAGCAGACCCCATCTCACAATGAGACAGTCACTCTCTCTGCAATGCAGGTCTCTCACACTTGGCTTCATTTCCACAACCCGGACAGGCTGACTGAACTGACCGTCTGTGGTCATGAACAGAGAATAGCGCGAATACAGGTATTCAAGAGGCACTGGCCCTTCAGGATCAACAGTGCATCATGAACCAGAGGGCACAAGTGGAAACTACATGGAAGTGCATTTAAACAGGGGGCACTTCTTTACAAAAAGGGTTGTGGGAGTGTGGAACAAGCCACTCATCGAGGAAGGCCTCCTCTCGCTTGTGCTGGTCATTTTGTTCCCCAGCCTGTGACCCAGGTGAGAGGAGAAACGGGGTTTGTGTTTTCAGCTCGGGCTGAAGCACGTTAAGCGAGGCCTTCGCGTCTTTGCTCACAGGGCTGCGAGCTCTTGAGGAAGTTCTGGGCGGCGATGACAGACACTCACTTCTTCATTTTCTTGGCGTTGTATTTGACTTGAAACGCAGCCTGGATCACCTTGTCCGGCCCGCTGTCCAGCTGGTGCGGGATGACCTTCTGGAAGTACTGCAAGACAGCGGGACATGAGCTCGGCAGGCCGCTGACCAGTCCCTCGCATCGCCGCACATGGCCGAGGCCAGCTGCTCGCACACCGAGCCTCCAGCTCCAGCTGGGGGCGCCACAGACACAGCCAGGGAGTCAGGGAGTGACTCTTTACAGAATGAGCTGAAGTTGAACTCTTACTGTGCCTCTCATGGGAAGAGCAGCAGAGGCTGCAAATCAAAGCAGGCCTTGCTCAGAATATTGGAGAGGCTTGTTTTTGCCACACAAGGTTTTATCCGGCCACAATCCTGACATTCAAGCATGCCACAGATCCAATTCTAGAGAGGCAGAGAGTGAGAAAGGGATCGGCTCTCTCCTTTCAGGAGGTAACACTGCGAGATGTAACCAGCCTAACAAAAACAGAAATAATGCCAGCAAAAGGTTGTCTTGGGAAGAAGAAGTCATTTCTTGGTTTCAGAAAGTTTCCTCCCGGTAGATGTAAATGTGGGCTTCAAAAATGTGTGTGCAGTAAAAACTACAGCATCTTGTCACAAAATCCTTATTGTTTAAGAAGAAATGACGTCTTACCTGTAACATTCCCTCCATGTCAAGCTGCATTAGTTCTGCTTGATTCATTTGCAGGATAGCTAATCCAACACGGAACACAATCTCTAAACCCTGCCGAGAAAGGAACACAAAGTGATGTTAACCGTTAAGCAGGGAGCTGCGCCAGCATGCATAGGCTGCAAAGGAAAAGCCTAAGCCTATGCCACAGCCGAAATGTGTCTCTTTTCTTTCCCTTTCAGCATGGAATGAACCTTGAATGTTAACAGTGCCTTACAAAATTAGATGCAATGATGCATCTCAGAGTCAATTACTTTTGTCTGCCAGCAGGTGGCCACCTCTGCCTTTGAGCCGATGACAGCAGGCCTCTCCTCTCCTGAAGCCCGGCATGGCAGACACCTGTGCTGAACATCAGCTTCCTGATTGCTCAACGACTGACAACAGTCCTTTCTCTCGGAGAGAAGGGGATATTAACCGCAGGGTAAAAAAAAAAACCAAGCAGCAGAACAGAAAAAAAAAACAAGTGACTTGTATTTTGATGTAGCGAAAACAGTGATATTGCAGTCTATAATCTGATTAAAAGAGAGATGGGTTTTTGAGAGTCAATGGACCAGAATGTGCTTGAGCTGCTGTGAGCCTGCACACTGCGGCTGGCCTTCTTGCTCTCAAGAGACATGAGCCTGTCCCCTCGAGGATCTGTAGACCAGAGCTCCAGCCACCCGGCACGGCAGGAGCACAGACTCACCTCACACATGAAGACGTCAAAGATCCTGGTGGCCACAGACAGGGGGAAGGAAGTGAGGAAGATGGTGAGAAACCAGGAGGAGGCGTACATGGAGGTGTGGAAGCTCTGGGCCTGGAAGTGCACGTGCAGCTCAGGGAGCTGCTCCTGGAGAGACACGCGGACAGTCAGAGCGCAGCTTGGGGACGCCGGCCACAGGACTCGCGCGCAGCCTGAGCGTGCCATACCGATGACGGAAAGCACAGCACCCGAAAGCTCACCTCACGTCTGGAAGCTGAACCCAGAAAAGGCACGAGCTTGAGCTATCCCCCACCAGCTTTTGCCTATGGTATGAGAGGATGCCACTAGCAAAAACCTGAAATGGATCAAACTGCTCCATAGTGGGAGTTTGTGTGAGGGGGGCATTCTGCTCATGTCACAGGCACCCCTTTACAACAGCTTGGAATCCAGACTGGCAGTGGTTCAGAACAGCACTTTACAGCAAAGCAACTCCGCGTTTAGCCCGAGTGCCCCCCCTGTGCAGATCTGCCCTGTGCAATGGTCAAGCTGCTGTGCCCAGGATGCTCGAGCGCGCAGGTCTTCACCCTTACCTGAATCATGCACTCAAACTGGTACATGCAGAGCCCCAGCTCCGCCATGCTGGGTTTGAAGAGCTCTCTCAGCCGGTAGTCTTGCATTAGTTTCACAAACACACAGAAGGCTTCCTCTTCTGGCATCTGCGTGGAGAGAGCATACAAACAGGCTTCAGTACTCTTCCTGCCCCCCAGTCCTTACGACAAAGGAGGCTTCATGCCTCCAGACACAGCCGGCTGTGTGTTTCGGATCTGGGCACTGATATCTCATAAAACAATTCAGCGCCTAAGAAAGCAGCTCTAATCTAGCCACTAATTTCAATCAATTCTGTAAGTAAACTGCACTGCAGTTGCAGAAACATAAGACATCTGTGCATAGTTTGGGCTTTAGATAGGACTCTGTGTTTATTTGAGATTACTAAGGAAAACGGAGCGAATTGCAAGTGTCTTTCTGATCATTCTTTAGTATACTTGATCGCTTTTAATCACTCTTTCCTTTGAAAACAAAACCATGCACAAGTATGGGAAATCCCGGGCTTCAGAAAAACTCCCAAATCTCGAAAGGACGAAATACACAAGAAGCACAAGGACGCTTTCTCACCTGCATGAGCAGCAGTCCGACAATGAAAGCACTCCCTTGGCAGTAGCCAACCTCCCGGTCAACCAGGGAGTAAGCCTGCAAAGACAGGCATGTGAGTGTGGGAAACAGCTGCACACATGTCCACACCCTGTCTCTCCTCAGCCTGCGCCCGGGACACAGGCTGCTCGAGCTGCACAGGTTACAGCTGTGGCTCTTGGGGAGAGAGCCCAGCTGGCTTTCTGTTTTTCACGGCAGGCAATTCCAGTTGCCACCACAAAAACTGGAATTGCAAAAAAATGTAACGTAGAGACACGCATTTAAAAGACTTTTTTTTACGTGAATCACAGAAAATCCTTACAGCAGAGGCTAGCCTCGGTAGCACATTACTTAAAAATAGTTAATAGAGGATGGCAGAAAAAGACTTCTTTCCCTTTGGTGCAATCAAAGAGTTCTTCTTGAGGACAGACGGGGCATGATGGAGTATATTCAATGGCAATAAGCAGTTTACATTCATTGCAGATACAGGGAGGAGGACTCCCTGTAATCTGACAACACCTGTAAATCTAGTGTTCCACTAGGTGGTGCTATATATATTATTGAGGCACAACCACTTGTTGGGAAGGTGTGTGGTTATCACTAGTACACAGCGCCACCTAGTGGCAATCCACAGATGGTCCTCCACCCTTCACTTGCAAATCCTATGGCTAGAGCCTGAAAATAAAATTAAAACTTCTCTTCACATTAAAAAGAAGAGCTGCAAACCACACAGAAACACAGGAAAAGGAAATGGAGTCACCAAAACTTGGCCTTCAGGGTTGAGGGCCAATCCTCTAGTGCTCCCGAACTGGAAGAGCCCTGACCTTCATGACGTTGAAGAGCACCTCCTGCCCCAGGCTGTCCTTCTCCTTGAAGAACTCGTGCTCGGGGTAGGTCCGTGCGATGTCCCGGCGGATGAGCTTCTCGCAGGGCGATGTCATCTTCAGCAGCTCGGAGTACTGGTCCTTGATGGGCATACTCTGCGCGTTGCACAGCAGCTGCCAGACGATGGCCCTGAAGTGGTGGGGGATCCCCTTCCTGACGAGCTCCTGCGCGGAGAGGGGCGCGGCCCGCGTTAGTGAGGCCAGCCTCACCGCGAGCAGCTCACCGCGAGACGCACGCACCCTAGCCAGCTCCGCGGCTGCAGGGGCTGCCACCTTTCATGAAGCGACCGCGGTATTATAAAGAAGTGATTTATTACTTAAACAGTGGCCAACGCCTGCTGGGGAGGGGATTGGGGAGACGCATGGAGCAGAAGCCATTCACTAGCAAGACATTAACGCACTGCGACCATGTGGCATTTTGTTTGCATCTTTAAACAGTCCCTGTATGAGTGTGTGTGTGTGTGCGCGCGTGTGCGTCTGCGGGCCCCCTGCGATGGGCTGGCACCTGTGCAGCGTTTTTTCTGCCTCGCACCTCTGGTCCACCACTCTAGGCTCCGGCTCACTGCGAGTTATTGGAAATGGAGGAATTTTCGTCTGGCAGTAGGACCGATGTTTTCCTGCCATAATCTTACTTACGGTTAGTAAGATAAACTGCATCCGCTTTTCATAACTAACAGTCAGAAATGCAGTAGACCTACTGGTCTGATGTGATATAAGATTACTGGAGGAAGAAAAGACGTCATTTGCATTTCACAGGTCTCGTCGTGATTCAAAAGTCCTCGGTTGTTTTTGATGACAAAGAGAATAAGATCAGCTTGAACGTCAGCGACCCTCTCGGTCTCCCCAAGGGGGAACCAGATATCCTTTCTGGCCTCTGACGCCGTACCACGGTCTAGTACCTGTCGGAGACACTGCTTACGCCACAGCTGACAGAGAAGACACTCCGGACACAATATGAAGTGATCCACCCGGACAAATCCATAAGCAAAATCCATAAGTACAAATCTAGTAAACATGGATACAGGGAAAACGGCTTTGGCTGCTGTTAAAATCCAGAGCCAGGTGGAAGGTCTATGATCGGAAACGCAACGACAAATAGCACAGCACTGAGCCAGGGTGTCACAGAGATCTGGAAATAGATGAGAGGGGGGCTTTTGTGTCTTCTGACAACAAATCTGACAACACCAGGACTTGGCCTCGGGGACGTGACTGGATCACAGGACTCGAGTCACGAAGCAAAAGCTCAAGCGCTGGCAAAGATGAAAGGAGGAGGTGACCCGAGGCAAGACCGTGTGCACAGAAGCAGCTCAGCAGGGCAGCCGGCTCACAGTGGTGCTGCCTCTGTAACCACAGGGTCCAAGACCTAACACTGCTCCTCTGAAGAGCGCCACAACCGGATCTCCAGAAACGCAGTCCTGCTTTCGATTCTGGGCCGGAGTGGGACGTCTGCAGCGGACCTGGACCGGTGCCGGAGGGAGTTTCTGCGCCGCTCCCTGCCCCTCCCCCTCTTCCTCCATGGGCCTCACCTTGAGCTGCTTCTCCTTCTTCTTGCGCACTTCCTCCCACTCGTTGACGACGCGGCCCCAGAGGATCCAGGAGTCCTCCTCCAGGTGGCCCAGGTTGCTGGAGGCCGAGGAGCTGGACACCAGCGAGGAGCCGCTGTTCCTGCGGGAGCCGTTGACCGAGCGCAGGGACTTGCTGTCCGTCTCCAGGAGCCTGTGGGGCAGACGGCACGCGTTACAATCCAGGGCGGCGCGCCGGGGACCCACGCCGTGCAGTCCCGCCCCTGCTGCCCTTAACGAGCCAGACCAGCGGCTCACTGGCTGCACTGGTCCAGCTCAGCGGCTGCTTTAAAGAGCACCTGACGCCCCTCCCCTCCGGCACCAGGACCGGACACCCCAGTGCAGACTGGCTAGGCCTAGAAACATTCCCCACGGCAGAGTTCGGGACTTTGCAGGTTCCCCCCCAAAAAAAGCAAAGCCCTTTAGTCGAAATGTGCTTCAAAACCATTTAAAAGGATGATCTCAAACTTCAACTGGACAGAATAAAGCTATGCAGTAGTTTTGTGTTGCACACTGAAATAAAGCAGAACCCAGCACCGGTGGTGTAGTGTACAATATTCACCTACCTTAGGTAGTCCATCAGCATGATCTACACTTCCTGACCCCACACGAACAAACAGAACTTGAATTCAGTCAAACCACGCGTGAGATTTCACTAAAGTAAATGTCCGTGGCGAACGTCAGTACTGTCAAAGTTACCCCTGGAGACGGTACATTCTGCATCAGCCCTTTTGCTAAAAATCCAAGAAACTTCCTCTCTCGAAGCTTTTGTAGTTAAGTTTTCTATACCGTTTCCTCTTTTCTAATCGATTTTCTGGATGGACATGAATATCCAGTTTCGGCAGGGGCAAACTGTATACCGCACCTCCAGTGCGAACAGAGACCTTTATCACAGCACAGGAGAACCTGGCCTTGTGTGCCGGAGGCGTTTGTTATGACTCGCCTGGTACAATGGCTATGACATTAAAATGTTCCAGTAGGATGCACAATAAATACCCAAACACCTACCATCTGCCCTAAGCATCAAAGGTTAAGTTTAATGACCTATAGAGATCATTTCTGGCAAACAAACTGCTGTCTTGGGTAGACATCATTAAAAACAGCATATATCAACTCTTCCACAGCAGGCCGCCCACTGAAGCTCAGCAGGCGTGAGCCTGGTCAGTACCGGGATGGGAGACGTCCCGGGAAAGCTAAGGCTGCTGCTGGAAGAGGTCAGTAGGGGGACGCTCACCCTGCGGTCTGTGTGGGTCCGAATGCCCCAGTATAGTGAGTGTGGCTGCACACTGGTGGTGGTAGAGCAGACATCCCATCACCTGTAATGTACTTTGAGTGGAGCATCCAGAAAAGTGCTATGTAAGTATATGGATTATAAATACAGCATCTAATTTGCTTGGATGTTGGTAACTACTGGCCTACCAACAGTAGAGTATCCACCTCAACAACATGGCTGGGCAAATCACTCCACACTCCCACCACCCTCTGTGTATAGAAGTGCCTCCTTTCGCCTAGTTCACAGGTTACACCTCTATTTCCAGCAATACAGTCACTCACAGAAAACACATCCCCGAACTACACGTTTGTTGAGCTCCTTCAACTGGTTTTGGTCTTGACAAATATGCCAGTGGCTCTCCAGGCAGCTCCACTTCCCAGCTCCCCAGGGGGCCAGCAGGAGCCCCATAGATCAGGCAAAGGTGCGACAGACCCCCCCTTGTGAAAAGAGCCGGCGCAACGCCGGAAGCCCACCAGAAAGACCGACAGTGCTCACAGCAGCCGGAAGCATGGTGTGCGTATTGAAATCCCACTCCACTGCTGCTCAAGACAGCTGGAGCACCAGGAACCAAGACACCTTCCGGCCCCGTGCTGGAGGAGAGGACACTTAACTACACAGCGCCCGGCTTCAAGGGCTCACGGACAAGCCTCTCGGAGTCATCCCGCATCCCGCGACACTCACAGCTGCCATCAAAGGCACCTCTGAGCAACACCCCTTCAGTGCTGCAAGAGCCATGTGCCTGCGAGACAGTTCCAGAGCTCCCAGCCGCGGGCTGCTCGGCTGAGGTCACGCAAACAAGATTAAAGCCTTAAAAGACGTCTCCCAAATCAGTCGTGATTAGCGTGGCTAACGTGCAGCGCAAACTTCCAGAGGGACGGCAACAAAGGGTTTATGTCTGACATAGAGACAGGCTGGTTCACCAGCTCTGCACTCCTGACCCTAAGGGAAGGGGTTTTCATCCTCAG